ATATATATATATATATAAGACTGAAGGAATTAGCACTACAATACCCCCAAAAAAAAAAAATCAATAAAGAGAGTTGTAGGTAAAACAAGTGGCCACAATTGAGGCCACGCAGATGAGGAGGGAAGGAAGAAGAGTGACATTCAAGAGCCTACTCTGTCCCAAAAATCCGGCCGCAGTTATAGTACCATCCGCAACCACTCGAGCCAGCGTTCCAGCCTCCGTCGAGAGTAGCCCGCCATTGTAGGTTCCGCGGGAAAGCCGAGACGTCATGACTCTAGAGAGAAGTGACAAATTGACACCTGCAAGAATACAAGTACATTTGAACTAAGTTCCAGACACCAATTAACCGGACGAGGTTGGTGCGATCACTTTGAATGTAGAATATCTCACCTTCAAGTACTTCGGCAGAGACAAACATGATAAGACCTGAAGAGACATACTGTACCACAGTGTACGGTATTATTATGTGGAAGCTCAGAAGAATGCCTATGCAAACCATAATTTCGGATGCCAGTAGCATTTGCCTGCAGCGGAGTAACGAGAAGAGTCGGGTTATAAAGTAAGAAAAACATGAGTGGAACTGAAGAAAATTTGAAATGAAAAAATCCAAGCAACAAGAACAGCATAAGAAAAATTCACCTGTCCTCAAACATGTTGCTTATGTAGCTTCCAACAATAATGTTTACTGGAAGAACTGTGAGCCCAAGACATGCTAGAAATATTGCCACGCTGCTTGTGGACCAACCAAAGTAGTACGTGGTAACGACACTAGATTCCGAGAGTAAAACCTCCATTGCATACTTGAGCATGAAATATATCAACAATTGAACCTGATCGAATGATACAAAAGGTAAAATGATTAATCACCAATAAGAAAATGCATGTAGATAATGTGGCTCTAACTTGTGTATGCAATTAGACATGAAGCAACTAAACGTCAATTTATATTTCTTGCTGAGCCGACGTGTAACTATTAGCTTATTTACATGTGAAAATAATTCAATTTGATGCACATTCTTCGGGTTTAGAGAATACCTTCACAGATGGCGTAAGTAATCTATATGCTGATCGAATTGATGTGGCTGGTCCGCGAGATTCCTCAGAAGATTCTTCACTTCCTTCAAATTCTTGGTCAGCATCTTCATCTTCTTGCTTGTCTTCTGAACTAACAAGCAACGGTTGTTTAAGACCTTCCTCGAGCGCATTGTTTTCTACTGTTTCTGCCAGGTAGTGGGGTTCAATTCCAAGTTAGCCATTTATGAAAAACCTCTCATTATGCACACATAGTATGGGATTCGAAAAAAATAAAATAAAAACTTTTCTATCCAGTGAGGCAGGTCATTTTACCAGTATTAGATGTTTGTGGTACGGGATTATTTACAGTTTCAAGAGCAGGTTCTCTGAATGAGATCCATAACCATACTAAATATAAAAGCCATGCAGCAGCCATAACCCAGCCAGGCAAAGTATCTTGATTGAATGTAAGCTTGTAAATCTTGAAATTAGTTTGAAGTAAGCCAGCAAGAGCTGGACCACAAGCCATTCCTAGTGCACTGGCACTAACAAAACCTGCTGATGCCTGCATGCGGATTTTTAGTGGCACACAGTCACTGATATACCGCCGGTTAACTGCTCTAGCAGAACCGAATCTGCAAATCAGAAAGTCCAAATTTGTGTAATGAGGTACTCATCTTGCTATTGAAAGAACACAAAATAGTTGCATGAAACTAAACCTGGATTAAAGTTAAATTATTAGTTCCTCTAAACATGATTAATCTTCTGATGATGTAAGAGTATGAATAACACGCTTCCAACTAATGTACATCGAAAGACTTCCAAAAGCTGGTGCCCACACAATGGAACAAGATAGCAAACGTAGCAATGGAACAGACAATAACGGGCCATCATACGTATCATATAAAGATAGTTGTTCATGAAAATAATTATGTGAAGTGAATTTTTCCTATTATCATAGTCGAATGAATCCAAAATAAAATAAATCTGTTGGAACATAGCCACCAATACCCAAATCACAGTTTAAGCAGCTTCAGAGCTTATATGATTCTGGACTGCCTAACAACCGCCTTGATCAATCCATTGGCACATTTTCACAATCTTTCACATAAACGAAAAAATTTATTAACACAATACTACATAAATCAACATTATTTACTTAGGCAGCGATTCAATTGATAAGCTAATGGAAAGAGGACGAAGAAGATTACTTACCCACAGAAAAGACGACCAATCAAAAGAATCCATATTGAATTAAGATCATACGCTAGTGCATACATCAGGTTTCCCACGAACAGAACAATACTGCTGAATACAAGAGGTTTGAAGTATGATCTGTTTGACCATGCACTAAAATATACTGAAGAAAACACCTGCGCAACAGCCATAGCTCCAATCACAACACCACAAACTGTTGCTGCAGCTCCAAGGCTCATGGAGTAGTCATCTGCTGTAGGGACAATAATGTATGTATTGACCATGTAGAGAAATGTGTTTGCTAGGTTCAAGAGAAGCGACATAAAATGGTATCTCTGATCATCAACATGTTCATCAATAGTAGGCAGCTCTTCTTGCATAATGAGTGCATGTTGAGCCAAGAAATTAAGAAAGTTTGTTGAATGTGTTAACCGGTCTACAGCTGCATTTATTGAATCAACAACAGGATCCTGCATATTGATGCAAATACTTTTAATAATATTGCCTATCATCACTATCTAAAAATGGTTTCCAACCAACGAGAGAGGAAAGCAAGTATAGGGTAAGAGAAGAAAGAAACCTGGAGTGGAAGAACAGGCTGATCGTATATAGATAAGTAGCTTCCCTGGCGATCCTGGAGTTCATGAAGATTTCGTGAAAGGGCTCCCACAACAGCCCCTATCCCCTAAAAATCCATAATTAGTTGGTAAGATCATCCAGAGACAATACTTTGGGGATTGACAAAATAGATGCACACAAAAAGTTTGTTTAGGATGACTTATGCTTTATCTCACCCTTGCAGGCCCCAAAAATTAGCACCTCACTGAGAAAATACAAGATGAAAACGCACTCACCCATCTAGATGGCTGTTCAAGTGTGCAAAGTCTAAAGGAAAAGAAGAGATGGGCTGTGATTAGAAATATTACCACATGCTTAAATACTTGCTGCAGCTGTGAGTATGGGTGATTAGCCCGAGTTTTGACATAATAATCAGTGAATCTATAGCCAAAGCGTTTATCAAACTTCTTCAGTATCTTACGAAGGCCAATAGCATTCATCTCGACAAAAAAGAGAAGCTTCAAAAGGTCTTGCCCAACTGTTCTATAAGCTTCCCGTAGTTCAGTTATTTGAGATATATCAGGCTGCTCCTGTAGAGCACAATGCCTTTCTCCAAGCTTGGCTATCCTGCTTGCTAGTATCCCTTGTTGTTCCAACAGAAAAAGGACAATCTTCTCAATCTGAAATAGTAGTAGTGAAAAAAAAAAAATCAAACATACTTCAGATTGCACTTTAGAGACTTCAAAATAAAAGCAGAAAGAACCAAATAATGCAAACATTTCCTAATCCTAATCATCCTATATATGTTACACAAGCATGTTAAAGAGAAGGAACAAACATGCTAATTTCTAGCTATATATGCGTCTATGTGCTTGTCTACCATGCAAACTCGCAGGTTTATACATCAAATTGCTCTTGATGTGCCCTTGGGATGTTCTAACTACCCCCTTTTCCACTCATTTCGCCAAATTTATAGAGGGAAAGAAAATAAGTAAAACCCACACAAGCTAATCTACTTTTTTACTTACTGCAATCAGACCCAGCACATAGTTAACTAGTTCTTAAAACGTTACATGTTTCCTTTACTAATTATTAAGTAAGCAGCTTTAAGCTCTTTCGACCAATTCATTTGCACACATATTTAAGATAGTTGCCAGCTCGTCCATGATGCTTTTAAACATACTATGCGCTTCCACATTTAGACATAATTCAAATAGAAGACAAATTATAACCACTTAAATCTATTGTTTATGAATTGTTAACGAAAATAAGAGCATGTGACTAAATGATTCATGAAGGAAGCTGTAGCTACAAATGGTACAGATTCTAGAGCATTAAGAAAATTTAAAACAAAAAGAATCCACGCCAAACAAATTTCTTATCATTTCTTAATGAAAAAATGAGGCCAGCATATGCGCACCTGATCATCTAGCATTCTTGAAAAATCCTTGAGAACATTCCGGCGATCTTGTGTACCGACTTCAATTTGTTGAGCATACTGTTTTACTCTTTTCTTCATTAGTTTATAATTGATGTAGTAACTGCGCAAAAACAGAATATGACGCATCAATAATCAATTTCCACATACCAGAAGTTTCCACCGTAATCCAGGGTAAAGAATAGCCAGAAACATATTCACCAAAAGAATGTATCAGCAAGGATTTAGACGTGTTATTGTCTTTTACAACTTTCACACAAGAAACCTTCCAAAGTTCCAGTCATTGTTCATGAAATACTTAGCAATGGATACTTGAATGAGCAACAAGAATAAACCATACCGTCGCCATTCTTCAATTTGTCTTTCCTTCAACTTTTTCCCAAAGGCAACCATCTTTCACTATAAGAAGAACAGAAGTCTAAATGAGAAAGAATAAAAACCGACAGCTATGGCAAAATATGCTAAGAGAAGAATTTCTTTCTCTGATATCAATTACAGCTGTTTAGAACTTGTCATACAATGGCTTTTTACTTAGCCAAAACAATAATAACACAAAATCTAATAATACCAAAAGCTATGGCAAAATATCCTAAGAGAATAATTTCTTTCTCTGACATCAATTACAGCCGTTTAGAACTTGTCATACAATGGCTTTTTCCTTAGCCAAAACAATAATAACACAAAATCTAATAATACAGAGATACTTCTTGAAAAAATGTCAGCTTGAATATTATTTGTTGGAAGCAGAACATAATTGAAATGTTGGTCAGCAAAATAATTGACAATTTACATAATAAGGCAATCCGTTAACAATCTTTTATCCAGATGATGCTCCAATCATACCAAAAGTGAATTATTCATTCCATCAATGTTATTTTCACTGGAAAACAGTAATACCCTCTATACTAAATAAAAATAACTTTGATCAGCAAAAAACAATAAAAAATAAAAATAACTTAATAAATATTCACCTCACTTTTTCCCCCTTTTTGCAGTATATTGTTCAGAATTCTTTTTTTTTTTCCTTCTTACTTTTTTGGATAATTCATTGAATCAACATTACTTCTTAAGGAAATAATCATAAAACATGGCCCGTAAGCCGTACTTGACCGAGAAAATCAGCGCGCTAATCATATTTCCAAAAACAAGACGGCCAATTTGACCAAGTCCCGTGAACAAAGCCACGTACTTGATTTCACAAGATTATCTAAATCAAAGTCGTAAATAATCCAAGAAAGAAAAAATAAAAAATAAAATAAATAAAAAGCGAAAATTTTGGCCGAAATTTCATGCCTAATTTTCCTAATGTTGTACGGCACAAGATTCAAGCTGAATTATCAAAAAGAAAATTCGAAATCAGTAATTTTTCAGCTGCAGATTCGAACCAAACAGCCGCAACAAACTCAAAGCTGCTTAAGAAATTGATTCTGAATCCTCCTCTGTTTGTTTGCCGAGAAAAATCGAGAGAAGAAACGACGATTCAAACGAACCCAGCGGCGCAACTCTCTGTTCTCTCGAGCTTCGAAGTGGGATTCAATCCAAGAAAACTCGCACTTAACAAAGCAAAAAATAACATAAAAACTTCGAAGTTCATCGTCATGCAACTTTCTTCTCCGAATTCTCGGCATCCAAACAGAGCACAGTTCAAAAAAAAAACATACTCCTAACAATATACGTATACAAACACGCATATTTACACATAAACATACACAAAAATCGCATTACCGAATAGAATTCTTGCAGAAAACGATTTAGATGACCATCAACGAACAGAAACGAAGCCAAACGCTCCTTATTCTGAAAGCAGAAAAACAGGATTTTACGATTTCAGCGAAAAACGTTTCCGAGAAGGACGCAGTTCCCAAACAGAAAAACGGAGAAACGAAACGGAATCAAACTCGAAGGAAAACGGGATTACCTCGGGAATGGATCGTTCGATATAGGGAAAACGGAATTTGTTGTTTGTGGCAGAGAAAGAACGGATCTTTGTTGTTAAACTTTGCAGGACGGAATCGGGATTCCCGGTTAAAAAAAAAAAAAAAAAGAAGTTGGAAATGGGAATGGGAATGCTCTGTCCTGAAATCTGAATAGTAGATTTTCTGGATTCGAGCGAAGCTTTGTTTATTATATATATATAGTTATTATTGAGAGGTAGAAATCTACTTAGGAAACATTATTGTCTTTCTTATTATTATTGACATTCACTATTATGAACTTTATGGAAAGAAAATAAAATAAAATAAAAAATAAGAGAGAAGAGACTTTGAGAGAGTTTTATTCGGAATCTGTTTTATTGAGAGTCAGAGGGAGATTTTTGGTATCTTCTTTTTTTTTTTTTTTTCTTTCTTGGCGGGCAATAGTTGTTTGCTTTCTGAGCAAAGGAAAAAAGAAAGCCTTTTGTATTTTGCATGTTGAAAGAGAGGATAATTTCCATAAAAAGGAGAAAAAAAAAAAACATAATGGAAAACATAGAGGAAATGTGTAAAATAAGTTATGAAAAAATACTTTATTGAGTCCGACGTACTTTGGATTTTGAACTGTGAAATCAGATGAAAATTAACGATTTCACTGCAAATAACCCTTTTTGAATGAATTTGTCCTAAAATTAAAAAATGATCATTTTTATTAATTTATTGATCAATCACTGATTAGTTTAGCGGTCAATCAGTAATTAAAGTTATCTATAATTAATTTATTTTAGTTTAATATTGATTAACTTAATAATTCTTAATTATTAATCAATTTTAGTTAATAATTAATCAATTTCAATAAAAAAAATATAGGTTTATCAATAATAAATTATGGGTCAAACACTAATTGACTCTTAAAACACGGTCATTTTCGTAGAATAAAAAAATTTAGCCATTTTTGTAAAATAGAAAAAGGTTGGCCATTTATATAAAAAAACATTTAACTAATTTTTTCTTAAAATTAAATTAGATAAAAGAATATATAGTAATTTAATAAAAATATACCAGCAACTTATAACGGTTTTTTTACTGGACTATTCTTTACTACTGAAATCGATTTTTTTTTTTTAGGTACTACTGAAATTTTCTTTGTTTTCCTTTTTGTCGTTTTTTAAGTTATTTTTTTATAGCTTTTGTTTATTTAAAAATAAAAAATCAAAAGAAACTAACCCTTTTCTGCCTTTACTATTTACTTTTCTTTTATTTTCCTTTTTCAGCCTTCAGGTCAGTTTTTTTTTTTTTTCCTTTTTTTGATAATCATTAATTATTTTCTCCTATCTTATTTTTCCAAATTACTCTCGTTACTTTGTGAAAACAGCTACACTCACCTAAACTGGTGTAAAATTAGAAAAACCACATTCTCTTGATTAATTTGCACAAATCTCTCCATCGTTATCCACGTTTTTTGTCTTGATCGTTTCTTTATAAGAGTAAAACTTACGATAATCTCATTAGCCAAAAAAATAATATTAATAACAATAAATAAAAGGAAAAAAAAAAAACTTAAGATTACTCCACGTCCACGTTACTAAAATTTCTTATACGTATCCTCATGAAGGGTTAGTTATGTATTCATTTTCTTCTCATAAAACAAAAGGAAATATGTTATTAATAACAATAATTTACTAAGCATGACTACATGATAGAGACATCCTATTTGGAAACAAAAAAGTCCTCCAATACTTCCAATGAAGATCAAGAACCTTATTATAAAATTATTACTCACTGCATAATTATAAGGTGGATGGTGAAATGAGACTAATATAATTATCCAAATTAGTAGTCAATTTTAAAATCATATCAAGCATACGTCTCTTCTATTACTTTATTTGATTCCTAAAGGTTGAATTAGCAAGGGTCTAAATGCTATCAATGTCGAGTCTACAAGTACGACAAGTTGACAAACATTGACTTCTATAGCTACAAAATCAAAGTATTTGAATTAATAGTACTATTTGTAGCCAACGGTATCATATGGTTTACCAAAGTAAAAAAAAGAACAAACTCACCATATGTTAATGAAATACACAAAATCATGATTCTCTAATTTCTACGTTGTTTAGAACAATGTTGTTATGGGATGAACAATGGACATAGACTCTATAGTGTTTTCTAGCTACATTATACTTTCATTTGTTGGTACCATGCTAGTGGGAGAATGTTCATACTAAACTTTGATATGAACCTTAAAAAAATAAAAAATAAAAAATAATAATAATAATAATAATAATAATAATCCATGAAGACAAACTAGTCTAATTTCATTGCTCTCTCTGATCAAGTGTGTGTGTGTGTGTGTGTTTTTTTTAAGTAACTTTTAATAGAATTTCACTTTCTAAGACCACGCACTTTCCCTTTCAAAAGCAACTCATGTACCATTAAAGGTAGTGAACCAAAGAAACCAACACTTTGGTCCAAAGTAATAATTAAATATAAACCTTCAAGTAGACTAGAACTACTAAGCACTAAATATAGTTGTTAAGAAAGTACCTTAAACGCACGATCGGTGTTAAGTATTACTATTAATAAAAGATGAACCCTATATTACAAGACTATTTTTTATTAAAAGAAGTATTGTTCTAGTTGTTATATCTCTACTTTTCTCCTATATAAAAACAACAAGATATATCCCAATAGTTAAACATGAAATTCCAATGCTTTTTATAAGAAAGAAGAAGGAGCAAATTCCCTTTAGAAGAGAAAAAAATCGCTCATAATGTGCATATAGAGATCAATTCGATGTAAAAAGAAGTTGACAGAGCGTGCGTACAAAATAGCCTATTAATCCTATTAATGATATGTAGTATGTTCTTCTGAGGAGTTGACACTTAACCTACCCAATTACCAAGATGGGCAGAAAGATATATAAGAGTGTGTTTGATTAGTGTATTCGTGTCATAATTCGAATTATGGTTCATGATTCGCTACAGTATTTTCTCACATAAAAAACACGCGTAAATCGAGAATTATTTTGAATCATGATTCTAAATCCATAAACTAAACGTCCACTAAGTGTCCCTTATATGGCACATCATTAATTTTCCTTTCTGCTCGAAAGACCATAATGTCATTATAATTGGAAAATATGCGGTAACATTCTTGTCCATTTCGACCAGTAACATTAACAACCCTAAAGGGGTAGTCGTAAAATATCATTGGAGGAAAAAAAAAAAACACAACTTGTGTGTGGACATCAAATAAATAACAGGGAAATGTTCATAACTATTATATCCACGTAAGTTATTGATCGCAATTTGTTCACAATTCACAATCGTTCATCTAAATCAGATTTTATAATAGGGAAATTTACATCATGGGCTCCAAACTTTCGAGCTCTTGATATTAAGGTTTTCAGTTTTGAAATCTTGATTTTATGAGTCCTCAAGCTTACAAAATATTTGCTATTTAGGTCCTTGTCTTAACTATTCCATTAAACCACCTTCTTTTTAAAATAAAAACAAGTCAAACTCCCATGTTTCTTGGTACTTAAGCCCCCAATTTAGTATTTTGACAGAGTTTCATAGCAAACTCCAAAGTTGCGGACCTAAGTTCGCGAAACATGAAAAGTTAATACTTTGAAAAAAAAAAAAAAAAAAATTTAAAACAGAGGGGGTTGACGAAAGAGTTGACATGAGCATCTATAATATAATGCTATAATTAATGTGCTAATTATAAATTTAACATTTGAGTACAAAAAATACAATTCAATACAATGTTATTTGTTGTGTTAAATTTCTCATATGTTATACTTTGTGGTAAATTTTTGACAAAGTATACCGCATAAAAAATTTGACATTTAATTGTTACTGGTTGAAATGTTTACTTTTTCATATAATCATTACAATTTTTGCATTTTCTAATTATTTTAAAAGTAAAAGTTTACTTACATTACGTTCAAAACTTAATAATTATGAGAAAAAGTATATTTAACATTTCAAATAATATTATGTATTGGAGTAAAAATAAAAATAACATATCATATCACACTTTTTAATGTAAAATTTACAATTAACATTAATATTTGTATTGGATATGGTCTTAGAATTTAAGGAGCAAACTTTTGTAATTTCTGAGACATAAACCAAGATTTCAAAATTAGGGACTCACGTGCCAAAATCTCAAAGTTTATGGACTAACAATGTAATTTTTCCTTTATAATATATGATTGGATATCTGTTCTGTCCATGCAACAACATTACACTTATTTCATAAATATGATCTGATTTTATTTGCACGGTTGTATTATGTAAACTTGTGAGAAATTTAATGATGGCAACACCTCATCATACGTATTTTATGAACCATAATCACAATTGTACTATTTAAGAGCCTATTTGGTTCATGGATTAGAACTATGAGATTAAAATTATTTTCGATTTACGTATGTTTTTTGTGAGAGAAAATATTGTAACAAACCATGAATCATGATTCGAATCAGAGAACAAATCCTCCAACCAAACGGACTCATTATGAACGAGAAAAATTTTGAGAACTTGCGAACCATCGGATTTAAATAATACTATTTGCATATATGCTCTAGTTGATATGTATGAGTAACATATTTAAACGGCTCACATGTTCTTATATTAATTAAATGCGTAAACGACAACAGTTCAGATAACAGTGCACACAACCAAGCCAGTGAGCCACCAAGATATCACAATGTATTATTTACATAAAAATAGTAAATAATACATTGTGATATCTTATTCATTATTTGGTGAGATTTTGTGCTATCAAACACACACCGGTAGGGCCCACTAATTAGTACTCTCTTGCAAATATGTCGGCTGTTGCCACCGGCTGGTTGACCTGACCCTAGCTCATCATGTGGTTTTGTTTAGTACAATAGTGTAAATATGAATATAAATTTATTTAATTAGCAAAGAAAATAAGAAATAGATATACTTTGTTTTTTTATTAAAAAAAAAAAAATAAGGTACGCTTAACCCAGCAATCATCTCTGGTTCGATTTTCATCATGTTCAATTTTACAAGAACTATGTGTAATGTAAAAAAATATATATTTTAGTGTAAAATTAAGTCAAGTTTCATTACCGTGATCAAGAAAAGTCAAGTCAACAAATTAATTATGACAACGATACTCAACTTTATTGCACATGTTGTAATTGATATATCATCCATTGAAATACTTACTCTGTTCAACACGCTATGATAAAATTCAAAAAGTTTACACTTTCTTTTTGCTTTCTTTTTCTTCTATTTTCTACTTACTTATGAATAATGATTAAAATTAGACAATGGAAAGTGCATGACAGAAAGTAAAGTATACACTTGCATGAGCATAGCATGTGCTGTATACGGACCTTTTCGCCATGCAATAAAAAAAATAAAAAAAAGAAGAAAAACTTAAAAAGGATAGGGAGATTTTCTAATACGACTGGTGTACCAGTAGATTAAATTTTTTTAATCGTTAAATTTACATATTTTTTAACTTTTACGTAATTTTATACAAATTTTACGGACATAAAACATAACCTACCGACAGAAACGGAGCCATAATTTAAATTCAATAAGCCATAATAATAAAATACTATAATTGTTCTCGATAAATTTTCATTCTTTAAAATCATTGTAAAATAACCTTGTCATCAATATTATTAAAAATACATTACAGTCTAAAAATACCAATTTTAATATAAATGAGGGAGGGAGAGAAACGCGTAACTGTAAAAGTAAAATGGTCATAACAATAAAGAAAAAAAAAACAAAAATTGTATAAATTTTCAACAAAAATGAAAAAATTGTGTAACTATATACACCCTTCATTTTTTTCAGTGGGGGTACGTGCTTCCACTGTCTTCTACTTAGTTCTATATCAGCCTATCGATATATTAACGTATCAAAGAAGATTCTAAGAGCATATTGCTAGTAGAAAAAATGAACAAGAAACAAGGACAAAAAGGAATCCTTCCAGGCGGAAAAGATTAGAAAAAGAGACAAAAAAAGAATCGGAACATGGGGACCCCAAACTTGTCATGTGGAAGTTGCGAAGGTGGGGTCTAAAGAGTGACATATATGTGGTTCAATGTGATCCAACATGCACCTTCAAAGCTTCCGAGCTTGTTTGATAGGAAGAACAAGTGAAAAGACGAGAGAGGAAGGAGGAGATTAGTATAACGAATCATGATTGTTTATTAATAGAAAAAGGAGAAAGGAACATATTAGTTAAAGGAATTGTATTCCGTCAAAGGACTCTAATTTTTCACACCATTTGGTAAAAGAGGAAAGAAGAAGAGGAGGAAGAGAAAACATGAAAGGAAGCCATTTCTTTTATATTTATATGCATATTATAAGGAAAAAAAATTCTTTTTATCTTGTATGGCATGACTAATTTAACGATTAGCTAATATTATACTAGTTTAAAATAAGAAAAAAAAAGATAATCAACTTTCATGCAAGCATAACAAGCTCTCTCTAAAAATCTCTCTACTTTTATAAAGATGGAATTCCAGGCCCCGTTCATTTCGCCGATTCGAGTTTTGCTACAGTAAAAAGCTCTCAGAAACAGTCACATCTAACTTTTTTACTATAGTAAAAAGCTCTCACACAAAATCACATCTCAACTCGAATTACAATCCTATCAAATGACGTACACATTTATTTTATCTTTTAAAATCCTTTCACTCTTTTTTTTTATTTTCCTCCTCCCATTTTTCACCTATACCAAACATAGCATAATCTCTCAAAAAATAGACCAAAGGAGGGAATACATACTAAATACAATAAAGTAGCGGTAACCCCCATCTCTCTATTTCTCAACTAGATTATATATCTTTCTTTCCTTCCTATTTTACTTTTCTTGCCCTAGCTCATTAATATGTTTTTATTTGGCACGCTATGACAAATTGACAGTGCAAGCTTGATAAAGAAACAAACTATGGCAAGGAATTTATTTATTTTTTATTTTTATTTTTTTGCAGATTAATATGTTTTTATTTGGCACGCCGCTATGACAAATTGACAATGCAAGCTTGATAAAGAAACAAACTATGGCAAGGAATTTTTTTTTTTTTTTTTTTTTTGGCAGCCTTTTTAAGTTGCCATGTAAGAAGACTTTTGTAGTCTAATGCAGTTGAAGCCAATACTTGAGTCGTTGTCTCATCTCAGTAAAATACACTTGTTCAGCTTTAGTTGAGCCGAGCATCACATCTAATAAGGAGTCGATTCTGCGGGTCTCACACCCTCTAGATTTTAGTGCTTCTAGTTTTACATGGTAAAATACGTGAAAGGACACAATTGTCGTGTTATAATGAAATAACTCTGCCAAAGAAAAAAAAAATGCCTTGAAGTACAATCCATGTTAAATATCATCATCAAAATTAAATGTGCTCTCATTTGTGAGACTCGCACCGTAAGAGTTATTTTTTATTAGTGAGCAGTACTCAACGCTATCGGTATCGTATAATATTATTTAAAAATAAAAATAAAAAGTATTAGTGGTACTAAGTATTACTAAACAATACTATTATATACTTAAAAGGATATTTGGTGTGAGGATTCGTGTTATGATTTAAATCATAATTCGTGACTCGCTACAGTATTTTTTCTTAAAAAAATACACGTAAATCGAAAAATAATTTTGAATTATAATTCTGAATCCGTGAACCAAACGTCAAATTAAAAATTCCAACACTGACAAGAATGTGACATAAATGTATATTGAACTAGTCAACACTACTAATGTGTTCGTATTCATTTGTTTGTTACTTCATTTCATGAATGTAAAGTTGGCATGGTGTCCATAAAATGAAGTTGGCATGGTGTCCCATACTCAGATTGCTATAATGTAACAACCACATTCACATTTCCTCATTGAATGTCCCCAATCCCACCTAGATCTACCTTTCCCACTTTTAGACCTTTTTCATGTATTTACCTAGAAAGCATTCCAACTGTTACAAAAATTCTGTTCTACTATTTTTACTGGTCATTTTGTAAGACAGAAAATAAGGGTTAATTTTTCAAAATATAAAATATGATAAAAACAATCTCAAGAGATAATACACGCATGTAAGTATAAAATTTTAGCAGCAAAAAAATGACAAAAACTTAGTGCAGATGTGGGGTTGGCAAGCATATGTGGCTACTGCATATTAACTTACACCTGACCCGCCAATCAATCTTCCAGAGTCTACCTATCACCTTATATACCAATTTTTTTTTTTAAGACCAAAAATTAATGTTACTTGATCCAAGCTGGTCAAAACCAGAATAGATTATATTTATTTCTGTATAGCTCAATATTCTCCGTTGCTATGATAATGATACCAATTAAGAGAGATGTTGTGGAGTTGATAGTACTACTCTGTAATGACAAAAACATGCGAATGCTCTTGATTCTTAAGTTGAAAGTAAATAGCATTAATGTGGAGGAAACTTTTTATTTATCTAAATTTACACAATCTAATTTTGCAACAAAATGGAAAGAGTGGGAAGGAATAAGCAAGGTTGATATAAATATACTAGAGTTTATATGCATAAAACCTTCAATAATAAAAAGCAATTAAGCGTTGAGTAGAATCATAATGCGTACATAATTTTCTGAAAACTTCTCCAGTAGGACCTCTCCTTTTTAAGGACCAATAGGAACTATTACAACCGCTTGATTAAATTTTTAACGGTATGATCCGTGAGTGTCTACATTAAATATTTGTAGAGCACAACACAAAACTGCTCCAATCACAAAACAGACGGTTGAAAACAATTCCTACCAGTAGTTAAACTTTAAAAAGGACAGATGTTACTATAGAAATTCTCTAATTTCCTATTAAAGTTTTGGTGCAAAATAGGAATAGGACAAATAGGAAAGTAGCACGCATCAAAACTTTTAAGTGAAAATGGCCAAGTCAATTGGTCATGAGCAAAACTTCAAGAAAGAAATAATTTTATTATCACATGTTTCAAAAGATACATTATGAGAAATGGGGTTGACCTTTACAAGCTTCTCTTTGCTGCTTCAACTACATCTTTTCTGCCTGATGGGATATGCAAAGGCAAAGAAAGTTATAGTGGAAGAAGCAAAAAGAAGCTTTTGAAAGGTTTTATGATGTGTAGGAGAAACTATGAAAGTACAAAAAGAACATGGCTTTCTACTTTCCTAAGGGCCTCTACTTGTGTACAAAATATATATATATATATATATTTTTTTTTTTCTTCCTCAAAACTTGTACAACTTTCAAAAGGTAAAAGTTCCGAAAGACATCATTCTTTGATGAATCACCACCACCGTTTTGTTAGAGTCGTCAGTGCCATTGTTCGGGATAAAAATCTAGCCAAGTCCCCGGCAAAAAATGAAAAGCTTAGGTGAGTTGTAGCTGCCAACTAACCTTAGTTAACATGGAATTGCCCAAGATAAAATGCAGGCTTCGGATTTATCAATCAACATTGCAGGCAAACGAAAACCAAATTTTTCTCCAATGCTAAAGTGACCAGCTTACATCCGTGGTCTTGAGGGTATATCTACACGGACTTGATCATTACCATCATATCGCATGTTTGACTTGTAGATTTCTGCCGCTTGAGGATCTATGATCTCAAGAGCACCAAGTACACACTTGCGATACGAGAAATCTTCAACAGTACCGTCTGCCCTTACCAGCACAAAGCAGCGTGAGCTCTGATGTTTAGGGTGATATGCAACCTATAGAGGAGGAAAAGCGTCATGGAGAAGTACATGTGCAACTTAAACATTAATAGGGTGATTTGAATGCTCATATTTAACAGCATACATTGAATTTCGCAAGTTACGTTCTTTATGCGAGGCAGCCTCCAAGTAGAGTAGAAACAAAAATTTGCTTAAAAGACTTAAAATGGTCACATTTTATACATGTACCAAAATTCCAGGTTATACAAGGGCAAACCATATTTTATAAGAGCAAGACAGTTTTATTTCTTCTCCATTAAAATACCTTTATGTCCTGAAATCCTGTGCCAATTTTCTCATCTATCCGGGGATGAAAATATAACGCTATCATCAAGGTTGACTTGTCCTTGTGATCTAGGCTCTGATTTATTGGATACCTACATCCAAAAAAGTTAGTAAAATATACGAGGAACTTTTATGAAATAACAGAAAAGTCAAAAGAGGAGCAACATGATCAGGAGTAACTTAAGCCCCGTTCATTTCACCAATTCGAGTTTAGAATTCGGGTTTTACTACAGTAAAAAGCTCTCACAAACAGTCACATCTAACTTTTTTACTACAGTAAAAAGCTCTCACATAAAGTCACATCTCAACTCGAATTAAAAACTCAAATCAGCGACCTAAACGGGCCCTTACTTGTTCAAGATTTTCGCTAGAGCATTAGATAGGATCCAAATATCATCCAACTTAAAAAGCTTCTTTATCCTGTCTTTCGAAATGCCCAACTTTTTAAGTCCTTGTGAGACAGACTTGTCGTACAACAGCAGAGCGCCAAATTTTACAGATCTATGGTTCTTGGCATCCGGTGTTTCATTTACACCCTGCACATCGGGACTGATGCCAGTCGCCAGCATATCATAAACATTTATTGGCTTATCGACCTCATGTCCCTGATGATCACGCAGAGAGGAGTGGATTGTTAAAAACAGCAAGCATTTTGAGTGAAATAAAGCAACAGTATACAAATTACAAAAAAAAAAAAAAAAAAAAAGAGCTATCCTATCGGGCTCCACAAAGAGATGAAAGGTAGCTATGTAGGGAACCAACTTTTGCGGGACCCATTGAATTTCTTGCGGAGCTAGCTCCCTGTGGAGCTTTTATGAACTAAACAATAACATTAATATTAAAATTAAAACAATTGTGGTACAACATGGGGGAGAAAATAATAACTTCCGTAGCATGTTGCTTTGTTTGAGTTAGACACCGAAATTCTTAATCCAGAAAACAACACGTAATCTTGCTGCTGCTTCTTTTTTTGTTTTTTTTTGTTTTTTCTTTTTACCTTGCCAGAAAAAACAAGTTCAAACTGTCCACCAGTTCCCAAAGGTGGAATGTTTCCCCATGCTAAAGCATCCAAGGTCCCGTGAAGGCCATCTGTGACTTCAGCTTTTGCAGCTTTGATGAAGCAAGCAGCAGGGTTCTGCAACGTATTCCAATAAGCATACATGAAGTTAGCTATACAAACATATAAATGTTTAATCGAAAAGGGTATTCTATGGCAAAAACAAAAGCAAATAAATAATGAGAACTCACGGAGAAACACGCTTGCGAAAAGGGTGTTGCAACAGAAGCATGCTCTCTTTGCCGTGCAAGTCCTTTCGGAGTCAAGCCGACAAAATTTCCTGTAACTGATAGTGTGTTGGCAACCAGAAGTAGATGTTCAGGAAGTATAGTCTTGCCAACATCAGATACTGCTGACTCCAAATTCTGCAGTTGAAGATGCATTACAGTTGTTATAGGTATATAGGAGTTTGCAGAGATTGAAAGAAAAAATGCACCAAGAAAAGGGACTTTACATTGAGGAAAAATTTCCATCCAGAATCTATTCCATAGACTGAACAGAATTCATTCACATTCTCTGGATGACTGCGTGACCAATCAATCAAATCCATGATTCGCAGACAATCATTCATGAGAGTACTCCAATAACTTTTTACACCACTATCTCCTGACATAGAAACTTTTAAGTAAAGTTCACCAGATGAATCACGGGTAGCTTTCGATGTGTTTGATCGATCGCTCCACAAAATATCTACCTTCTCAATTTCTCGAAATCCTAAAGAACAAGTGGGCAATAAAGGAAACATGAACCGGCATATATGAGGGGTATTTGTATAAATAAATGGAAATTTCATAAATTGACGATATCCCTAACTAGTCTCTACAAGAAAGACACATCCTTCAAAAGAAAATCAGCAATATTGTTCAATAAATACGTTTCAAAAGAAAATCAACAATATTGTCCCCTCAAATGAGTCTACCTCTTTGAATCCTTTCACGTGAGGGAAGTTTTTATTAGCTTCACAAGGATTACTCAGATATGATAGACAACCTTTAAATATAAGATTGAATATTTCATACTTAAACCGCAACAAATAAATAAATAATGTTATTCAAAGCTAAGCAAGCATTCTGGCAATGATCAAGAGAAAAAATTGAGAGTCCTAAAGGACCATCAAATGTTAAGACGTAAAATTCAAGACTTTAAAAGGCTATATTCCTCCACATACGAAAATGACATGCTTAGTAATTAGTTCACACCTCACCTTTTACAATTGTTTCAAGCAAAAAAGGTATCAACAGATCTTGAACTGTAATTAACTGTATGACAGAATTCTTGGAGCACTCAATACTAACAGTGATGCAACATGTGTCGTTGTCTTCCTCACGCGTGGCGGGTACAGAACAATCCCTACCATTCCATCAACCAAGTCAAAAAAAGGCGAGCTGCAAGCATAGATATTACAAGATGTACTAATGGCAGAATGACACCTCAGATTTGGGCATATGCGTAATGAAATTTTCAAGCAATAACTCAATATTACATACAGTTAAATTAAAAGAGAACTGCTTTTGCTCAGACACCGAAAGAGAACTTACAAATAGAAGTTTCGGAGAAAGTTGAACTATGTGGTCATAGCAAAAATTAATTTCATACACGTAAAACCATGTCTAAAATGGAACTCATTCTAGTTGACTTGATATATGAAAAGTGTAATTCCCATGATCAAATGGTTATGCACGCTATGCACAAGGGAATAGGAACAAGAGTAATTCTTAATTCCTTATTCTCGGGTCAGATAAAGATCAAGAAGAAGAAAAGCTTACTTGCTCCGTATACGCAAGTTTGGCAATTTGACTTTTGATCCTTTTCTGGAGGTGCTATGTCTTTCATAAAGAGAATTAATTACAGATTGCACCGTGAGTCTTCTTCTCCTCAAAATTTCCTGAAAGTTAGTAACAAATTTCCATCAGAAAACAAGACTCGTATAAACAAAGTACTTCACTCCAAGATTGTACTACCTTGCTCATATGGAAGTGACAAACCCAAGGGCTGAAACTTTTTTGAGATTTTTGGCTACCAGCCTGCGAAGTGAAACTGGTAGGAAAATAGTATAAGCAATAAGAAGGAAATAAAAAGAAAAGCAAAAATTTGCAGCGGAAAACTGAGAGAACAAGAAGCAACGGGTAAAAACTAACGTTATCATGACGGTTGAAACAATGTCTGAAAACATTAGTGCCTCCAAGTAATTTTTAACTTCCAATGCTGCATATTCATAACCATGCCTTTGTCTTCCAAGTCTCCGAGACAAATACAACAACATAGTTTGCCCACCTTGTCTTTTTTTTGAACCACATTCCAAGGCATTCTGTTTCACCAAGAAAAAATATTAATCAGAGGAACCTATTAACGCATCATCACATCAAAAAGGGAGGGGAGAGAGAGAGATGATCAAGCACCTTGAGATTTAGCAATGGAGAAGTCTCAAGTAGACTGATTGGCTGATCCAAAGCGCTATATGCAGCTTCAGAAATCGCACAAGCAGATAACGAGCCAACAGGTTGGCCAGCTATCTCAGAGGTGCCCTCATCAGTACCATAATAAAACTGAACAACATGGCTCCCGTAACTGTTTCTTATTGTTCCATCATACGCAATGTACAGATCTCGCATGAAGTACATCAGCCTGCGGTGAAGGGTCCCAGGAAGTTCAGCATTATCGCTGAAGGAACTTTCACGACTTGTCACAGAATGAACAAATGATTCCAATGGGTTCAAGCCAGTCAAAAAAGAATTGCCCACCACAGCATAAGGGATGTATGACTTGGCAGATTTGGGAGCGTCAGCATCCTCCTGGATTAAACAAGACACTTTATGCTCATTCCATGCAGCACACGAAAGCAGGTGGGGAAATCCAAATGACAATGGAACAAGGGAATGTTGCAGGCCGAGACACATGCTATGTTGAACTAATTTCAGCAGATTGCCCTTGCTTCCGGCTTTCAGCATAGTAAGTAAGGAATTGTCCTCACATGCATATCTGAAGGCAAGAGTTTGGATATCCCGAAACACTTTCTTGAAAGCATCGATAGATGCTTGACTAAGCACTGCTGATCTCTGCTTGTCATGGCTTAATTTTTCCACTTGAAGAGATATGGGACTCAGATCCTCCATGCTATCTTCAGTAAGGAAATCCCAACAAGTATTCAGCAACTGCTTGAACATACATGCCTGCTCCGCTTCTTGTAAGCCATAAAATATTTCGTCCTTCATGTTTTTCCAAGAGCTTGGGTCAGACGACAGGTTCAAGTCCAGAAGAGAAACACTCAGACCCCTCGTTGATAACCACTCGCAAAGAATTTCTTGTGCAGCAAACAAAATGTCAAGAACCTTATCCGGAAAGTTCTTTGCAAGACTTTGGAAAATATTATCTGTGTCCCGTAACCAGGAAGATCCTTCAGCAGATATAAGCTCCCCATTTTTTATATATACGTTAGCTGAAGAAAAAACATAATCAAATCCTTCCGGTAAGAGCATGCTGAACACCTGTTTTCCCGTCCAAACAGGAGTACTTAATGAGGGAGCTTTGATAATTGCTGGGGACAAAGGATGATGCGAAATAAACATCTGCAATTGCTGCATCTGAAACCGATTAATGGTAACACTGTCCTCCAACATCAAATGGGCCGCAGTCAAACTGTCTTGGCTTAGCGAAATGAGGTTCTTACCACTTTGCCCATTGAGCAGTTGTTTATCCAACGAAACAAGCTCTTTGAGCTCGACTCTAGAGGCCACTGATTGAGGAATATAGCCATGAAGGCAATCACCATCAAAATCTGCACGAAAAGGAGAGCAACAAAGTGGATTTAACGACAAAGCTGACCCTGTCGGAAGAACCTTAACAGAGAAAGCCACATGCGAATGCTGATGAATGGATGGAGGCCTATTTATCAACACAAGATCTCCATCGCTTAGAGGCCTATATATGGTGTCTCCGATTTTCAGGAAATCAGTAGGGCGTACCCGCACTATATGAGAATCACGATGAATATAGATTCCTTGCTCAGTAACGCGCATATCCCGACAAGCATCTGACTTTTCCAAGTTCAATTTGTTCAGAACAACAGAAATATGCATCCTCTCTGCAATACGAGCGGGTATACCAATCTCATTAAGCCTGATGTTTGGATCACCAACGACAACCATGCGAAGACAATGGTCACTGCGTTTTCCCAAAACAACCTCTTTCACCCATCGTGAACCAGACGTATTTGAAGGACCCTCATTTGTCTTTTGCTGGGCAAAAAGCACTTCCTTACTTGATAATTTTTCAGAGTGTAACTGCGAGTAGAAAGCATAATTATTAGCAAGACTTTTGACTGGGATTTACAGAAATACAAGAAAACAACAAATGGTGACCTGCCTTGGAAATTTTCAGACAGTCCAAAATACGAGAAGCCAACTCATTCGGCGTCCCCCGAAAACCAACCAATTTTTTATAGGTAGACGTTCGTTCATCCTACAAATCATAAAAACACAAAAGGGAAAAGAAACAAGCATGAGTTGCAATTTACTAACCCCAATCAATCAAGAAAAGCACAAGAGAGAAAACGATTCATACATATTTCAATCGTTGCCCGTTAGAGAATGCATGATGAAATTCTGTAACGCGATGACAATTTGGAGTTACAGGGAAACAGTTGAGAAAAAGTAAATCCGTCCTTGGAACAAACTTTTTGATGAATTCGGGATCTACATCTTTTAACAAATAATGAACCTAAAAGCACAGAATAGGGCATCATAAATCTGAGTATAATATAGGAAAAGTTGCACAATCGTCAATGATCAACCAAAAAAAAAATGCACTTTATCAAAACTAAAAGTAAACAACAAATATATGTGCACACAAGGAAGCAAGATACCTGAGCATGTGACAAAACTCTTCTGTTTGGTCTTATGCAACTTTCATCTAGAAGTTCATCTTTTGGTAGAAACTCCCAATAATCAGCTGGTAACACACGTTTTGGTCTCTTATTCTGGAGTGTAACCGTGCTTTCATTTACCTCCGCTATAATAGCACTTTTCTTGAGGTGATCATATTCATTTGATGAAACTTTAAATTTCGTTTTTGGGTACCACTCTAATGAATTTCCCTGTTTACTCCAAAGTGTTAAAATTCATGATATTGAAATGCTGCACAAAGAAGTAAAATGAAAACAAACTTACAACACAAAATTTGCACCCCTTTGGCTGACGCCTACCGTTAGAAGAATCAGGGTCCTGGTAATATGCAGTACACAAGATATATTAATATATTAAAAAAATGAGCGACAGCAAACATTCTATTTATCTGAACTTTATATTCTCTACATTTTCCCAACCAAACAAAACCGGATATTTCCATTTTGGGGAGAAAGAATAAGTCTTAATATTAAAAGTATTACTCAGACATGCAATAGTTTATTTTCATCTTTAGATTTAAAAAAGAGTCAATTTTCTGCATTGAAGAAAACAAACAAGAAAATACAATTAGCATGGTTATATCAAAAGGAACCAATATCCTAAAGAAAGTTATTTGAACCAAATCAGAAAAACGTAAAGTTTAACATTTTGCAACAAATGCTCCCACTGTCATCTAGACAAAAATATGTTCTTGGAAAGAATTTTATTTTTCTTGTTTACGGAAAGAACATGGAATTATTGGCGCCCAAATCATTAAGATCACTCCATAGAATAACTTTTTTTTTTTTAGGATATCAATAGAAACCTTGGGAACCTAAAGTAAATCAAATACTGAAAAACACCCACCCAGTTTGTCCATGAAAGCCAGTAGACTTTTTAAGTTATTTGTATATAGGGGGGAAAAACATTCAATCAATACCGATCAACATGAGGCACGTGGTACCTCACCTTGACCCGAAGATCTTGCCTGATAGATTTACATCCTGGGCAAATCTTGTTTAATACTTGCACAACTTCCGATACAAAGTACGGATTCAGAACTGTAAACGGAAGTTTGATGTGGCCAAAATGTCCTAAAAAATAAACAAGGTTATCTGAGTACATCTAGTAGCAAGGTAACCAAAGCATCTTATTATGAAATACGAAGTGTGAATATTAATGTAACATGTCAATCCATACCTTCGCAGGACTTTGAATCATTCGCACCACACGTGGAACAACTGGAAGACGGATTGGGAAGTCCCAATCTAGGATCGGTCACCTCATTGGACAACTCAATTGACATGACAGACCTACTTTCCTGTTAAAGAATTACAACATTATGAAATTCTGTTTCAAATGAGGAGAAAGTCAAAACATCGTAGAGTACAGAATACAGAACCAATAATCATTCACTCAAACTTTTTGCTATAGAGTGGATAATGCATTGACATGCTAATCAGACTAAACTTCACAAAAGATATAAGTGAAAGTCCTAAGAATTTTGTGGCGTCAAAAGAGTACAAATCTGACTGCCGAAAAGATGATGCTTCATCTTTCCGACATGCTAATCTAAACTTCACAAAGGATATAAGTGAAAGTCCTAAGAATTTTGTGGCGTCAAAAGAGTACAAATCAGACTGCCGAAAAGATGATGATTCATCTTTCTTAATAAAAAAGTAATAGAGAAAGATTTGCCAACAGACCAGCATGTATGTACTCATGTATGCATATGATTAATACAAGAACACGGGCATTCACATTAACCCAAGTAAGGCAACTCAATACATGTACACATATCAATAATTTGTATCTAAACTCGGTCCTATTATAGTGGAAATTTCAGATTACCCAATACCACAATCATGATGTGTCTGAAAAAACTAATCCCTGGCTAAAAGCATGTTTATTTCGCGGATAAAGCAGAGGATGATACTCTAACAGAACTTGATGAAATTCTAATGATTAAAAATTGTGTACTACCGCAGAATTCTCCTTATTTTGCAAGAGCAAAAGAAGCAAGCTTATATAAAAAACAACCAAACCATGAATTGTTCTAGTTTTTATGGCCCATCCTAATAAGAACAATACAATGTTCTTCATACCATTTAGGCTCTCCACGCTACAAACAAACAGGAAATTACATGCAAGAGTAGAAGAGTGCTTACAGTATCTTCCTTGTTCGAAATAGTAAAGGATATGCTAGTCAAGACACCAAATGGAACACGTTCATCTTCATGCAATTCGTTCTCCATGATGCCTTCAGCAATAAAAATCAGACAAAACCTAAAGTACTACAAAAATACAAAAACAATGTGAGTACAAAGAAAACACTATCACCTGATAAGAAGACAAGCCACACCAAAAATAAGAAATAAAAAAAAAAAAGTCATCTTCATTGTAAACAAAGATCATTAAAACAACAGCACATAAAAATAAGGAACTCTCTAATTTACCAACTGCAAATGACGCGTGCCCAGATTCTTAAAATTCTCAGATGTGGGTATAACAAGAATTAGATTCATAAACCCATAAAGCTGAGAAAAAGACACCCCAAACCTACCCATACTAATGAACCAAACATTTAGCTCAAATGGCCATCACCACTCATAAACCCACGAACATAGAAGTAAAAATAAATCCCCCAGGTTTCATTATCTCAATGCCATTATGAAAAAAATAAATAACTAAATAAATAAATAAAATAAAAAAAACTCAACACCCTTTTAGACACGATCAATTTTTACAATTAGCAGAGTAATTAAGCCATCACCAACACAACATTCATAACCGCATTGTGAAAATCTCCTCTCTTTCGACCCCTCAATAGCCAAAAACCAACAATCAAGCACAAACATGCAGAAAACAGAACAGAAAGCCTCCATGCAAATTGCAAAAGCCATTAATTTTAAAAACCCAGAAACCAAAACGACACAACAGAGACAAGCATATCGGAAAAACGATCAAACCCAAAATCAAAACACGGAAAAATAAACTGCCCAATAAAGAAACGAAGCAATCATCCATATTAAAAATACGTCACAGGAAAAATCCCACATACCCTTTAAAAAAAACAAAACAAACAAACTTTACGAATTGAAAGAAAAAGAACTCACTTATTTCAGGTGAAACCGAGAATAGCAAGCACCAGGGTTGATTTTTTTTTTTCTTTTTGGCTTCGAAACTTCTAGGCAGCGAAAAGACGATGGCAATAATAATGGGCAGAGAATGATCTTTTCAATGGAAGTCACTTTCTGGAGTGTGATACTTCGAAATATGAAGAGTTAAAAAGTGAAAATTATTGAGTAGAAGAGGAGAGAGAGAAAGAACCCAAAAGGGCTTATGGGCTTTAGAGAGAGAAAGAGAGGAGGGGAGTGTCGCCGCCGGTCTGGTCGGAGTTCAGCAAACGACAAACACTGAGTTCGATGACTTGAAACAGGAAAGAAAACCGAGGTCGAGAAATTTGCTTTTTGGTACTCTCTTACATGTATACCCCTTCTTTTCCTTGTAATTACTAAACTGACCCTTCCTTTTTTTTTTTTTTTTTTTTACATACTTGATTTTTGGTCTTTGACTGGTAGAGGGTAGTACGTATTCACTTTTTTTGACTTGGTGGTGCGCTTTTTCGGCCCTTTGGTGGAGTCCTTTTGTTGTTTGGAATATAATCATTAATCAACTTGCTTGATTTCAAGAAGAAAAAAAAATTGCTTATTTTTATGGGTTGAATGAGATATTTTTTGCTGATCGGTTCAATGAGATATTATATGCTATGGTTTTCACTTTTTGGAACACTTGTTGAATATTTAAATTTTGTGTTTTAAATGTTCCCTATGACCCTATGGATACAAAATGCTAAGATCCTCGTGGGCTTAAAATAATAAAAAACATACATATCAATGTTACAATGCTAATGACGAGCTTTAAATATAAAGCATTTTTTCCTTTCAAATTTTATATTGCCACGTTTGACTTGTATATGTAGACAATAGGTTGAATTCACAAATTCACATTAGTGTTTAACATGATTATTATTGAAGTTGATTCTATCCATGTTATAATTCATAACATATTATTTAGATATTACGAGGTTTTAAAAGAAAACCACCGTAAAATTAAGAAGATTTAGGGGTTATTTTGTTGGGAGATTCGTACCCCGATTTGAATCATGATTCACAGTTCGCTACAGTGTTTTCTCTCACAAAAAATACACGTAAATTGAAAATGACTATAATCTTATGATTCTAATCCATGAACCAAACGTCTCCTTAGTGATTTATCATTGTTTTAAATGAATAATTTCGTGATTGTAGACATTATATAACAATGATTTCATGTTTAAATTAAATCTAATCTCTCATTTAATTTAATTTCATGTTTAAATTATCATAGTTGTAGACATAATGTAACGATATTATTTCATCTAATCTCTAATAAGATAAATAGAGATTTAATATCTAAATATTAAGGATATACTAAATTAAATTATTAAAAAAAATACAATCTATTTAAATAAATTCCATCAAGTATCGTTATCACGTTTCTAATACTAATTTAATTTCTAAGTACTAAAAAAATCTAAATTAAAATCTCGTTAATTTCACCGATTTAAGTTTTTAATTTCAGTTTTACTATAGTTAAAAGCTTTCACAAAAAGTCACATCTAACTTTTTCTACTACAGTTTAAAGCTCACATAAAGTAAGGGCTTGTTTAGTTCGCTGATTCGAATTGAGATGTGACTTTATGTGAGAGTTTTTTATTATAATAAAAAAGTTAAATGCGACTGTTTATAATAATTTTTTATTATAATAAAATTTGAATTTTAAATTTAAATGAGTGAAATAAACGAACCTAAATTTAGTTAGGGGACGTTTATTTTTTATATTCGTCCCTGATTCTAAATTATAATTTATAATTTTTCATAATATTTTTTCTCATAAAAAATATACATAAAATAAAAATAATTTTAAATACATAAATCAAACGTGATTTTTGTAAGTTAAATTTTGCAGAAAACATTGATTATCACCAAACAGAAATACAATCAATGTGGCGCGCATGCAGTGTACGTAAGCATGAAATGGAATATTTGATTATTTTCTAATGGTTTTTCTTTTCCTTTTACGCATGCTAAGATGACATAATTACATTATTAACCGTTTTATCTGTGTCAGTATCTCCCTATTTCTTTTCTTTTCCCGAGAAAATACTATATGGTTTTTTTTCCGCTTGAAAATACACAATGATTTCTTGTTTTTAAAGATTTAAGTGCGTTTAGAACTTGTTCTAAAATAATTTTATTTTTTATATAAAAATATAAATAAAAATATTTTTAATTTCAGACAAAAATTATTTTTAAAAATGTGTTTAGTAGTTTTATTAAAAATTTATTTTTTCTTATCAAAAAATGTGTTTAGTAGTTTTATAAAAATGTGTTCAGACATAATTATGTTTAGAATCGTTTTCATTTTCATTTTCATCTTTAATTGTGTCAAACATCATTTTTCTCCCGTTTTTATTTTTTCTTTCTCAAAAAATGTGAAAAATAAAAACAAAAATAACTTCAAACACAGTCTTTGTTTCTTTTAAGCTAACAGCTTATTTGGTGGAGGGGTATATGAACCCCTATTCAAAATTTTAATAGCGTTTTCTTTTATAAAAATTTAAATTTAAAAAGACTTTGTTATAATATTTTTTTCACATAACTTTTAAAAATTTAAATACTGATAAAAACTATTTTGTTTGAATTCACGAACTAAATAAACTCTATTTTTTTTATATGGATTGTCTTCATCTAATTCACAAAACTTCTTTAATTGCAATAGCATTATTTTTTTAAAATGTAAAAAACTAAAAATTTATTTTATAAATTTCAATGCATAAAATTCATGAAAAAAGTAGATATATAATTTAGATAACAATGTCTTGAAGTACAAAATTGAACAACGTATTAAATTTGAAATTTTATTTAATTTTAAAAAGAAAAAAGAAAAAATTATTACGTAATTTGGTGGGAAAAGCAGCTCCATTACGCGCGCATACGTTGTAGATCAAATCTTTTTTTTTTCGTAGTAGTGAACCGGTTTGGTATAAGAATATAACCTTTTTTTTTCAAAAAAAAAAAAAGTTATTAACACAAATAACACCTAAGACTTACACATTGAAGTTGTCTATCCTGAGTTTCAGTTTTGAAGATTATAAACATGGAGCTTCTTACAGTGAAACCTGAAAAAATAAATTATTGGCTGATGATCTTGTTTTTTAGCCATTAGATATTTATTAGAAATTATATGTTCTGCATAATTTTTTTAAGCGATTTTAATCAAATTTAACAATAAAAAATGTACAAAAGCACCTTATAAAAATATTATTAAAAAATTGACAAATATGGTCATTTTGTTAGGAATCCGACATTTATGGACTTTATATAATGTGGAGTTACTTACAATGTTCAAAAGTGAAATTTGGAAGCCAAATTACTACAGCCTGTAATCTCAGACGGTATTTTGTAATTTTTTTTTTTTTTTTGTTTGAATGAGAACGATTTAGATAAAAGGCAGAAATGCGTGTAAAGGGTCGGGCATTCCCTCAAAATTGGATGGTAGAAAAAGAAGAAATAATTATACTTTTCAAAATATAAGGTGAAGTAAAAAGCTCATTTCACCAATTTTAATTTAGAATTTGAGTTTTATTATAATAAAAAATTATCAGAAATAGTCATATTTATTTTTTTATTATAATAAAAAATTCTCACATAAAATTATATATCAACTCGAATCAATAAATTAAACGACTACAATCTCCACCATTATGTGGGGTTTGTATCATTTCTGATTGGCCAGTCAAAGCTTTCACGACATAAATAAACAAAAAAAAAGACAAAAAAATAAATATCTATATATATATATGTATATGTACGTATGTATAGGATTGTGGGAAAAAATAGCTATTGATAAGGCTCCATTTCGTGAAGTAGACGTATATCAAGTTTTGTTAGTTTTGTATATATTTTGTTTCGATGCAATTTAATACGAGACTACATTTTCTCTACCATTAAATGCTTCGTGCAAATATTAAATCCTACCTAACTCTTGAAGAACGTGATTTTTATGTGCTTTCTCTTTCACTCACTGAATAAGATGGGTGCAGACTGATAAGAACCCCACCAATCTAATGAAACAAAGAAAGTGAAACTATAGATATCTCATTGGCTTGTTTGAAGCATAATTTAGTTGAACAGATTTATCGGAACAGAGCTCCATCATTTATAAATATTTTTGTACTCTTCTTCTCTTTCAGTTGGCTTGGCCCCATTTCAAGAAAATATATATTTTTAAGAGTTATTTCACTATGAGTTGGTCATTTTAATAAGGTCTCATTCATTTTACTGATTTAAATTTTTAATTTCAATTTATATTAATTAAAAACTCTCACAAAAAGTCATATTTAACTTTTTTTACTGTAATTAAAAGCTCTAACGTAAAATCACATTTCAATTTAAATCGGCGAACTAAACAAGACCTAAACTTTTATAAATAACAATAATGCTAATTGAGTCCTTATGCCCTATAATGTTATATATGTATGTGTATTTTATCAGTTTATTAGTGAAGTTGTTTAATTCCAATTAAGATGATTTGTTTTTATATGTGTTTATAACAAAAAGACGAATAAAACCTCACCCATATACCCTATTAAAATTGTCTATCACTATTGAGTTTTTATTAAAATACTATCTAAATACAAATTTAAGTTTTGACTCATCCAAATATAAACTCAAATACATTCTCAATTCAAACCATAACTTAAATTACAACTTAAACTCAAATTTAATTTAAAATCTACACTCAAATTACTATAACTCAAAAATACAACTGAATAAGTCGTAACTTTCTCGAGCTTTGAGCCCAAAAGAAAGAGTTTGTTCAACATTAATTTATTTCCCATTTCCGAAAAGAATGAGAAAAATACATTAAAAAAATGTAAAGTTGGACCATGAGTGGAAGCAAACAAAGGATTTTGTCGCGTGGTTGTCGTTTGAAGCAACGTCTTCAAGTATATATGGAATTAATGGACAAAGGCCGCATTCCATCATAGGAAGAATGTTACCATAAAGGAAGAAAAGCAACAAATAAATTCTAGTAAGAAATTATGTGAAAACTAATGGGGGGCCAAACTTACCGATTAAGAGCCCAGTTTAGTATGTTGTTGTCTTGTGTAACTTAATCATATAGTAGTATTTATAAAATACATGATGCTTAGGACACTTTCCATATAGAAGTAGAAATAAAAGGGTTGTTCTTTTGTCTAAAAAACTTAAAAAAAGATAACTCGAGTTCTAACTTTATTTAAGTTTATATTCTTTTAAGTTTCAACTTTATTCAACTTTACTCAATTTTATTCAAGTTACAATTTCAACTCAAATTATAACTCAAATTTAACTCAAAAACTACACTCAAGTTACACTCTAAAATTTAGAACAACCCAAAAATCTTCTGTCTCATAATAACATGTTCTTCTGATTCACTTACATCATGAAAAGAAAAAAAGTTACCATTTGCCTATCAAATTTCTATATATATATATATATATATAATCCTGAATTCTCTCTTCCTGTTAAGAGATAAGGAAATAATATTCAAGTTTAGAATTGTAAACAAATTAAATTAAAAATGCAAAGAATTTACTTTAACTATAGGTAAATTCATACCTATACATGCAATGCTGAGATCAAGAATTTCCCCACTCTAAAGAAAACATTTGCTGGCTGAATTTTTGTTGTTGGTATAAGTTCCTCACAAATAGAAATTAAAAATACTTGGTGCGTTTGTAATTAGTTTCAGATTATTTTTGAAAACGTCTATGCACGTCTTTTAAGATATGAAAAATGAAAACGGTTTGTCAACCGTGTTTGTTTAGCCAATGTTTTGAAAATGAAAACAAAAATAAAAAACAGTGATAATGATTTTTGTGAAGAAATTAAAAAACGGTTAAAAGTTATTTTTCTTTTTCTATTACTCATCAACAATGTTAAAATATATTAATTAATAATTATAATCAAATATGATTGTACTTTTTTATTGTACTCAAAATAATTTTTTAAAAAACTAACCAAACACAATTTTAAAATCGGTTTCAAAATAATTCTCCAAATAATTTTATTTTTACTTTTGTACTAAAAATAAAATTATTTTAAAAACATTACTAAACGAATTACTGTTTTTTTGAAAAATAAGAGAAAATTATTTTTCGAAAGCTTGACTTAACTGAACAGTTGGCTCATTTATTTGGGCCTTTGAATACCATCTTCTTGCTTCCAGTCTCCTCCTGCATTGGGTTGGTTCTCGTTGTATATCTATATCTATATCTATATTAAAGAAAGCATTAATACCATAGAGAATTGGCATTCCAAAGATAATTTATAAAGATTAAATTTAGTTTGCACACAAAAGTGTTAAAAGATGAATGGTTAGATTTCAACTGTCTAGCTAGCTTTATTTACACGCAATTTTCTCACTAAGGTTAATTCTTAGTGGTTTTTAATTAATCCTTAAATATAAAGACAGACTATTGATGTTTATGTCACGCACCACCTTAATTCATCAACTTTGTTTTAGTACCAACTACCAATACCATGACATAGTAACATTTTGACCTTAAACTTCCTCTGTTGAGAAAACATTGGTTTATATTTTGTACCATTACAACATACATTTGTCAGTCTCGTGACAAGGGGGATCGGGTGGTGGGGTAGGATTTAAGAGAGATTACGGATTTGATTCCGTATTGTATATATATAAAAAAAAAAAAAAAAAAAAAAAAAAAAAGTAAAGTGGACATTTGAGTTAGCAATTTTGGTCATAATTTTTTTTTGAAAGGAAATCATAATTTGGTTTGGATCTTATGACTATAAGTCAACTCTTTCCAATGAATGAAATTAATTATTATTAATCTTGAAAAGAAATTAGGAGTAGATTATCATTATTCAAGGCCAAAGCCAATTAGGCAAAAATGCCCGTTGGCGTACAGCTAATCATAGCTGGGATATATGCTCCCTCCCATGCTTCATAACCAACACAAATTCCCCGTGTTAATGGGCCTAATTTCCGAACCTGGGGCCCACTTCATGTACTTCTTCTAATAGCCACTTGTACTGCCCCACGTGGCGAAGACCCACATGATCTGCATCTCCAACATGATGAAGTTGAAGTTTTAATGGTGACACAATCATGCCCATCTAATACCATTGGTTCACTCACTTTGTGGGTCCCATAATCCACTTCGGCCCACCTTGAGAACTACCCCCTTTCCCTTATTCTGTTTTATTTACCTCCCCTTCCACCCAAAAAAAAAAATTTTTTTGGCATACCAAAAAATTATTTATTTTTATTTAGAAGTTTCCTTCAATCCTAATAAATTGAGCAATGGTTGTAGGTGGGCGAGAGCAATCAAATGGGAAGTTGCCCATAATAATGACATTTATGTCATTGGATAATTCCAACTCTAGACCTTAAATTACCAAAATTGGGTCTTTGGGGACACGTGGCAGATGCACATGGTGTGTTGTAACTTTATTATTGCAGAAGATAGAGTTTAAGTTCGAATTTATAGTGATTTATTAATTCATAAGAAACGGGCATTTCCCGGTCAGAGAGAAGAAAGAGAATGAAAAAGACAGAGAGAAAGAGAGCATTTTTGAACAGGTGAGATGCCAATGACTACTGGTTTGCTCGTGGGACGCATTGCCATGGCAAGCTTATACCATGGCTCTTTGACAAGGTCAGTTTCTCTCTCTATCTCTCTATCTCTCTATCTCTCTTTCTCTCTTTCTCTCTCTTCAGTCCGCAAAATGTGAGTTCTTTGCTGTGTTTTTTGAGAAGAAAAAAAATCTGCTCTTGAGGGGTATGGGTTTTGATGGAATTATTCCTGCTAAATTTTGATGCTTTCAGTCAAGAGATTCATGCATGTATCTGGGTTTCTGTTTTTTTCTTAAATTTTTTTTCTGGGTCTTCAAGTTTACCGGTTCATGTGAAATCGAACTTAGTTCTAGAATTTTCAAAGTTATTAAATTTGACTTTGAGTTTGAAAAATGCGTGTGATTCAGTATTTTGCATATGGGGTTTAAGGGCTAGCATGAAAAATAGGATTTTTTTTTGAACTGTTAGCAGCCGAAAGAAGAGACTCAAAGAAAAATTCTAACCCAGAAGCCTGAGATTCAAGCAAATTGTCTGAAATTTGAAATTTGAAATTTGAAATTTTGCTTCAGGTGACTGACGTGGGACACTAAAAGTTTATATCTTTACACCATGTTTTTTTTATCATGATGAGTTGAGAGATGTGTGATCATGACTGATCCCACTGAAAAACAACAGCAGGATTACCAGCTGGTAATGCAATGACAAGAGTTTGGATGTGAAAGTGTGATTTTGAGTTGATTTTTCCTCAAGGACCTTCGTGTTACATTGTTATGGACGTAGCCAACGGCAAAGACATCAATCGACCTTCAACTCGGTTGTGCAACTGCTACAAAGTGGCAAACCTTAGTCAGACAATTTTGGACACAATCCAAGTGTCAAACTTGAAAGACAAGTACGTTCTTGGTGAACAATTGGGGTGGGGCCAGTTTGGTGTAATCAGGGCGTGCTCAGATAAATTCACCGGGGAGGTTTTGGCTTGCAAGTCCATTGCCAAAGATAGATTGGTAACGGTGGATGATGTGCGCAGCGTTAAGCTTGAGATCGAAATAATGACTAGGTTATCTGCACATTATAATGTCGTAAGTCTCAAGGCGGTTTATGAGGAGGAGAATTATGTGCACTTGTTGATGGAATTGTGCGCTGGAGGGGAGCTTTTTCACCGGCTTGAGAAGCAGGGGAGATTCTCAGAGCACAATGCGAGGGTTATCTTTAAACATTTGATGGAAGTGGTTAAGTTTTGTCACGAGAATGGTGTTGTCCATAGAGATTTGAAACCAGAAAACATTCTCTTGGCCACCACATCCTCGTCCTCGCCTATTAAGTTAGCAGATTTTGGCCTTGCTACCTACTGCAGACCTGGTAAGAATTTTTGTTTCCTTCTTTTCCCCCCTCTCGTGTTTATGGATTAAATTCATACCTTTCCAATAAGTTTTATTATTTATATGTTGTTATAATCATTTGGTTTTTTTCGTGTCTACAGGACAGAAATTGCAGGGAACTGTGGGAAGTCCATTTTACATAGCGCCTGAGGTACTTTCGGGAGGTTATAACCAGGCTGCTGATGTTTGGAGTGCTGGGGTTATTTTGTATATACTTCTTAGTGGGATGCCCCCCTTTTGGGGAAAGACTAAGTCAAGAATTTTTGATGCAGTTAGAGCTGCAGATCTTCGATTCCCTACTGATCCTTGGGATCGCATATCTGAAACCGCTAAGGACCTCATCACCGGAATGCTTCGAGTTGACCCTTCTAAAAGGCTCACTGCTGAACAGGTTTTAGGTAAGTCATTGCAGCATTGTGTTTCAGGATCATTATTATACTTTTAAGGATTATAGCTAAAACAGTCCAACTTGTGCTGACTAATTACGGAATGGTGGTGATGGGAAGTTTTGATACGTAGTTGAGTGACACCAAACATGTTGTAGAAATTCTCTTCAAACACCATCTCTGAATTTTATTGGCATATTCATGATTCTCAATAAGAAAAAGCTTAATTGAGAGTTGGTGGTTGAATTGAGCAGCTTATTCATGGTCTAATTAATCGAATCCAGGAGCTTAATCCTCTAAGCGCTTGCCCTTTTCTGGTTAATGCTTTTGAACTTGGTTAAAATTTTTAAGCCAATCTTTAGAGACCAACAAGGTGCCCTATTTCAAGCTTTGCTCCTAATAAGATTACTATTCCTTGCAGCTCATTCATGGATGGAGGACTGCGCTCAAGGAGCTCAAGAAACATACGACCAAGATAACCAAGTTTGCGATGAACTTGAAGTGTGCGGAGGTTCTTTTTCTACTCCATTTATTGCCAGGACTGAGGATTATACCTTCAAAGGTGATGAGAAACCAAGACAATCACCTGTTTTCACATGCAAATCGTCTTTCGCTTCTTTCTTAGAGGATGATGGCACTCCTTGCTCGGCATCTGGACGTTTTTCCTTTGGCAGCTGCCACGAATCAAGTATGACAGAGTTTTCTTCCCCAATTCCATCAATGCCAAGCTTCACCTTTTTCAGTCCAATATCGAGTGTAGTTCAAGGAAATATTTCATTGAGATTCAGAGCTAATGAGTCATCATTGGATGTGATTTATAGTGGTAAGTCTTTCTTTCACACAGACCAAAACATAAGCAATCATGCACTTGTCCGTGATATTGTATGGTCTTTAACATTTGGAAAATGCAGAATCAAGCATGGAGAAACTATTTCCGCAGCCTGAACTTTTGCCTGATAAGCGCGGCGTTGGAGAAATAGAGCGTAAAGAGATTCGAAGAGGAGCTACTGGGACTAAGGTTGCAGGCATCCACAACAAAAGGAACCACACGATTGGCCTCGGCGAGTTCACTCAGATTAATCTCATTGTAACTGAATCGGTCATCCGCTGGGCGTCGTGCACAGATATTCCAACCGCTCCGTCTCTTAGATTATCACTTGTTTGCTAGAAGAATAAGATTAACCGAGCTTCCGGACCAGCCACAAAGAAAGAAAAACAAAACATGTTTACAGTTAACGATTCACTGGGGGGAAAATAGCTGATGAGTTGATGAAAGGATAACTACTACAACATGAGGAGTTGAACTTTGGTCTTAAAGCGTCCTTGCCTTTATTTATATGCTGTACTAGAGTGATGATGCTTTTCTGATATGGGAAAAATAATGTGCTGTAAAATTTTCTATTAGGCTTAAGGTTATTTATGGGTTAATTGGCTTGGTTTTAGAATCTACGAACAAGGTGTTGGGAAGAGCAACCAATCTGTAATTTCTAATTTCTAATGCTTTTAAATAAATGTAATATATATCGGAAACTCGTACTATATCTATATGTGTGTGGACAGGAATATATACTCATTAGAGTTACAAGTTTGGGTTGGGTTAAATGGGTCGGCTCCGACTTTAATTTTTTTGAGTTTAGGATCGGGTTGAGCCAACCCTCTCTTTTAGGGTCAGGTCGGCCTGATCCAAACATTATATTTTTAAAGATTTTTTTGAAAATACCTTATAAAATTTCCGGCCGGGTTGGTCGTAAATTTTTTAGGCTTATGGCTTGGCTGGGCTGACTTCTCTCTTTTAAGGTCGTATTGGGCTGACCCTCTCTCTTTTAGGGTTGGACTAGTCCGGCCCAATATTTTCCTTTGAGTTGTCAGGCCCGTGCTAGGCCGGACGACCTCTAATCCTCATTTTGTAGTGCATCTGGTATAAACACAAAGTGAAAGAAAAGGAAAAATGGAATGATATATAAGAGCCTTTACTGTGGCTTATTCATTGTTCATGTTCAGATGGAGTGTTGTTACGCTAAAGATGTCAGTGGGTCAAATATATCCTTTAGAATTTTTCTTAAGGCCGTTTGGAAAGTGTACTCAAACTATAATTCTTGATTATGACATTTGAAATTTAAAATTTTTGTGAGAAGAAACTATATTTGAATGGAGTTTTGTTACACTAAAGATGTTAGTGGGTCAAATATATCATTTGGAATTTTTCTCAATGCATGTTTGAAAAGTATACTCAAATTATGATTATTGATTCTGACATTTGAAATTCAAATTTTTTATGAGCAGAAAACACTAGTAGAATCAATGATTCAATAGAAAAACATAACACCAAACTAAAAAAGAAAGCTATCAGAATTTATTTTAGAATTCAATGATTCAAGGAAAAAACATAACACCCAAAAGAAAGCTATCAGAATTTAAAAATAAGGGGAAAAAAAGCTGCGTTTGCCGGGAGTCGAACCCGGATCTATTGCTTGGAAGGCAATTATCCTAACCGTTGGACTACAAACGCTTTCACGTCATTATTTCAGTTTTTTAACCTACATTAAAGTTCCTATGGGATAAGTATATAGTCAAAATTGACATCGACCGTACAAAAAAGCGCAACTCGATTTCATTCACTTGTCTTGACGACATTATCAACACCAAAATATTTATTAGAAGCATTACAAACTCTTTTTAACATATTGAAAATTTGAGTTGCATTTTAAGCAATAGAATTGTTCGTTGGATCCTTCGTATCATTATGAAATGACTACTTGTTGAACAAGGAAAGAACGTAAAGATGGAAATGCGCCAGATTGAGATTGACCCACATAAGATAGGTAAACCGCATTTAAGTATAAATTAAAAGCTTGCAAAAGATCACTAATATGCTTTTTCTTACGTTACAAGAACAGTAGTATCTCATAACGGACAGGAACTTTATCAAGACTTGCACATGAAAAATAACTTTCCCTTCTTATGGAGCCTCAGAAAAGAGAGCTAAAAAAAGCTCCTCTCCAAATCCAAAAAATATTGATGCTGCAAAATCCATGCTACCTATTGGTACATTGTTAAAGATGAGGTAACTAAAGATGTTTTACTTATTGCGACTTTCAAGATGAAGGCGCATAGTCTTGGATTGCTGTTGCTAGTTTATTTCGATCCTCCTCTGTTTTCAATCTAATCAAGAAGGTACGCGCCACGGCATTGTCGTTTTTACCACCACCGTTTCCATCACCATCTCCCTATAAACAAGAGAAACTGCTTTTATGACACGACTCTAGTTAACTAACTAGTTTGTGACTAAATGAAATGGAACTATAGTTTGTCACCATGCAAAATTCAGAATCAATATATATTACCGCACTATGAAATATCGCAACAATGGAATTCTTTTGTGTAGTCGTCTTGATACCAGGATATATTAAAGCATTAAGCAGCAATTTTCCTACCTGAGAAAAGCATGCAAAAAGTGAAACTAATGTGAGAGCTCCGAATGCAAAGCTAATACAAAATTTCATTGGGATGACCAAATAAATAGGCGGAAAAAGAGAACTCATTACAGCAGACTAATATGTCAGAGAATCCAGAAGGGCATAATTCAAACTTCATACATGTAAACCATAATGTGGGAGAGAGAAGTAGAAGAATGAGTATACTGTAGATTAAAGTATTTCAAGGAGAGAGGAAGGTATATAACCGTAGAAAATACTTCTTTTCAACAAAAATTCTGGAAGAAAAAGTGTTGACTTGTGGCGGAAAAAGAAATTGCAAATGCCATATATATTGACTTGATAATGGTCCGGTATCTCAAAGAGAATAGCAGAAAGATGAAAACAGCAGAAGAAACAGATGTTTCAGTGCCAATTTCCACTGACGGGAGCTAAAATATCTTCTATTCACACTAACCGAACTCATATGTTACTTGAAGCCTTGCCATCTCAGAAAACAGCATTACGATTTTTTGTTTTTTTGTTTTTAAATCATTTTATGCCAATAGTTTCCAATGCCACGACTTGGAAGGGAAGTAAGACTGGAAGAAAACATACATCATTACGAACAATAATCGTCGGTTTGGATTCTTTTGCACCCTTGCTAACACCCTCTTTGCATTTTATAGAAAGCTGCCCCGTGCCTTTATCTTTCCATGGATCTCTATCTGCAGGGTCACTTGACTGGACACATGAAAACACAAAACAGAAACGGAACAAAGAGCAAAGAGCAAAGGTTAGAACACATATAAACATCACATATTAGCATGCATTCGGCAAATGAATAGCAACTCAGCTTCCGTATTAACAAAAAATAACGCAATTAACTGTAGGTAAAGAGAATAATTAACCACGGCCATCAATCACATCATGCAACTAAACTATGAAATACACAAAAATAGATTTGCATAATTCTTTCATATTGGAAAAGAGGGGGGGGGGGGGGGAAGATTGGTGGGGCAAAAAAACTCCAA